AAAATAATGAACATAATACTGGTAATAGTGATAACCCAGACCACCCTCAACTTTACACCTCTGGTGCTGGGCCGTCTTGTTCACATCCAGTTGTACCAGAACGAAAGAGGAAACTCGTATTTTCCTGTGTCCAGGACTCGGATGTGAGCAGTAGTGATGGAAGTGATAGTGAATATGATCTCCAAGCTCTTGAAAACGGTTCCAGTAGCTAGAGTGAAGTGAAATATTCTCCAGTGAAGCATCAGTATATACGACGCTAAATGTGCTCTGGTAGTGTGCCATATGCTATTCCAAGGGTAAGGAGTACATCTCGTAGTACATCCCATGGCTGTATAACAAGAACAGATAGTGAAAATGATGATGATATTGTTACAACTGGGAAGAATAATGTGCATGCATCACCAGATGGTGGTGGCATGCGCCATGAGGCACCATCAGCGGCACATGCTGGTCCCCACGCCACTGACTCAGCTGAGCTACAACAAAACCCACCCTCATCCACCCACCACACCAACCTCCACAACCACAACCTCCACAACCACAGGTCAATATCCAGTATCCACCAGTAGACCGCACCTGGGATTGGCAGGAAGCTACCAATTTTGTTCCCAATCCCCATCACTATGATGAAAGTCAAAGTGGAATATGGCCATCCTGTACACTTGGGAACAATGCCACTGAACTGGAATGTTTCGAGTTATTCTTTGATGAACCCTTGATGGAAATTATTGTCAGGAAAAGCAACACATACTACAAGTACACCATGGCAAAAAACAATTCTTTCACCACGATCACGCCTACACCAGTGGAAGGAGACAACTGTAGCTGAAATTTATCTTTTCTTTGCCACAATAGTGCCATACGGTTTATAAGCTGCTTCTCCGCTCATATGCCGTATTCTACTCAAGATTGATGGACTGAACACATCGACTCAAGGTTGAGGGACTGATTACCTCATTCTCCTCCTGTTCTTCAGGTTTCTCCTATGTATGGACTGATGAAGCCACTGTGTGGCGAAACGTTTCCTCAATAAAGATACCCAAGAGTTGCACATGTGTCTAATTTATCTACATGTCGGTTCTCTGAACCATTCATCTACAAACCTGTCAGACACTGCAACTTCTTGGGATCTTAATACTTAGGAATTCTTCGCTTGCCTAATTCTTGGGCACGACCTACTTCCACATTGAACAAATGTGACACCACCTATGACTGCTGCACCTCTCCTGCCATACGGTTTATAAGCTGCTTCTCCGCTCATATGTCGTATTCTACTCAAGATTGATGGACTGAACACATCGACTCAAGGTTGAGGGACTGATTACCTCATTCTCCTCCTGTTCTTCAGGTTTCTCCTATGTATGGACTGATGAAGCCACCGTGTGGCGAAACGTTTCCTCAATAAAGATACCCAAGAGTTGCACATGTGTCTAATTTATCAACATGTCGGTTCTCTGAACCATTCATCTATAAAAAAAAGAATAAAAAAAGGGGGGAGCAAGGAGGAATAGTTCCTAGGAGGAATAAAAGGGCCGGAAATCTCCCTCCGCACCATTCCGAAACTGAGCGTGGAAAGGGAGTGCATAACGGGTTGATCTTTTCTGAGAAGAACAAGAAGGTGGTGAAGTATCATCGTCAGGCAATTGTCATTGGCGTTTAAGAGTGGGACCAGAGTTGGTCCAATGTGAAACGGGCTGGCGATTCGAAAATCTCCGCACTGTAGAGGGAGAGGTCGGAAGTATAGCCAAAGGAGAGCGGAGGCCAGACAAATCGAAGGAGTCAGTCGAAGCCCAGGTACCTGAAGCGGGTGAGGAAACAGCACCAGCAAGAGGTACAGGGGCATCAGGAGTGTCCGAAGAGCGGTCAAAAAATGAGGCAGGATCAGAATTGGGTGCGGTATCAAGAAGGGCTCGGGGGTAGGAGGTTCATGGATTGGAATCTCCATAGTTAGGTTACTTCTTGTCTTTTTGTTTTTAAGAAAAAAGAAGAAGAAAAGAAAATAAAAATAAAAAAGTAGAATAAAAAAAGGGGGGAGCAAGGAGGAATAGTTCCTAGGAGGAATGAAAGGGTCGGAAATCTCCCTCCACGTCCAAGAGGACCTCAGAACCGCAAGTAGCGCAGATGCAGCATGGAACCCGTGCCATACCCTACCCTTCATACCAGTAAACCAGCAGTCCGGGATAGCAACCTCACATCTGCCGAGCTACCTCGGTGGATAAAAGAGAGGGCAGACGGATATTTGCCACAAAGCATACCTCCTTCGGCCACCACCCCGGAATCCGAAAGGCGGCTTCCAGAGATATACCCGTCATCCGAAAAAGGCACCCAAAACCATTCCCCGGGATACCGGAGAGAGATCGGGACATCCCCAGGTGATCCAGATTCCACGGCAAACTACGCCACCTCCAAGAACCTCAACAGAATGGGATGGACCCTGGTACCCTTCCCTCTACCTAGGAACCAGCATGCCTGTGGGAAGAATCCTACAGGCCAAAAAGAGGGAGGGAATAAGGGAGGGATGGGGAGGATGAGGAGGAAAGAGAAAATGGAGGGTGGGGAGGATGGGATAGGGAAGGGGGGATTGGGGGGTAATTAGGTTCGGTCTGAGGAAGGAGACCATCAGGTTTAATTCCTCAGACCAAGAGCCTCTTCACCACGCCAAGGAGCCCCCCTTGAAGAGGGGAATGTAAGAGAGCAAATGAGAGAGTGGGTGAGATGCTATCAACAAATTTTATTAAGCATATGAAAAAGTTTTGGAATAAGATTAATAAGTTGAGAGAGCTTAGGGAACAAATGTATTTGACAGTTAAAAATAGGAGAGGAGAGTTATTAGACACAGAGTTAGATGTATCGGGAAGATGGAGGGAATATTTTGAGGAACTGTTAAATGCTGATGAAGATAGGGAAGCTGTGATTTTGTGCATTGGGCAAGGAGATAAAACATCTTGTAGGAGTGAGGAAGAGCCAGATGTGAGTGTAAGGGAGGTGCATGAGACAGTGGGTAGAGTGAAAGGGGGTAAAGCAGCTGGTATTGATGGGATAAAGATAAAAATGTTAAATGCAGGTGGGGATAGTTCTGGAGTGATTGGTGCTTTTATTTAATAAATGTATGGAAGAGGGTAAGGTACCTAGGGATTGGCAGAGAGCATGCATACTTTCTTTGTATAAAGGCAAAGGGGATAAAAGAGAGTGCAAAAATTAAAAGGGGAATAAACCTGTTGAGTATACCTGGTAAAGTGTATGGTAGAGTTATTATTGAAAGAATTAAGAGTAAGATGGAGAGCTGGATTGGAGATGAACAAGGTTGCTTTAGGAAGGGTAGGGGCATGTGTAGACCAAGTGTTTACAGTGAAACATATAGATGAAAAATATTTAAATAAGGGTAAATGGTTTTTTGTTGCATTGATGGATGTGGAAAAGGCACATGATAGGGTAGATAGGGGATCAATGTGGCAGATGTATGCAATAGGAGGTAGTTTACTGAAAGCAGTGAAGAGTTTTTATGAGGATAGTGAGGCTCAGGATAGAGTATGTAGGTGAGAGGGAGATTATTTCCTAGTAAAGTAGTCCTTAGACAGGGATGTGTGATGTCACCATGGTTGTTTAGTATATTTATAGATGGGGTTGTAAGAGAAGTGAATGCTCAGGTGTTGACAAGAGGTGTGGGATTAAAAGATAAAGAATCTAACAGAAAGTGGGATTTATCACAGTTGCTTTTTGCTGATGACACTGTATTTTTGGGAGATTCTGAAGAGAAGTTGCAGAGGTTGGTGACTAAGTTTGGAAAGGTATGTAAAAGAAAGAAATTAAAATTGAATATAGGTAATGAAAGATTGGATATCAGATTGGAGGAAATATGGAGAAAGTGAATGTATTCATATAGTATTTGGGAATGGATTTGTCAGCAGATGGGTCAATGAAAGACGAAGTGACTTATAGAATTGATGAGGAAAATGATGAGTGGTGTACTGAGGAATCTGTGGAGACAAAGAATGTTATCCATGGAAGTAAAGAGGGGAATGTATGAGAGTATAGTTAAACTAATGCTCTTATATGGGTGTGAAGCATGGGTGGTGAATGTTGCAACAAGGAGCAGGCTGGAGGCAGTGGAGATGTCATGTCTGAGGGCAATTTGTGGTGTGACTATAATATAGCAGAGAATGTATAGTTTGGAAATTAGGAGGGAGTGCAGGGTTACTAAAATTATTATCCAGAAGGCTGAGGAGGGGTTGCTGAGGTGGCTCAGATATTTAGAAAAGATGGAACAAAATAGAATGCTTTGAAGAGTGTATAAATCTGTAGTGGAAGGAAGGCAGGGTAGGGGGTCAGCCTAGGAAAGGTTGGAGGGAGGGGGTAAAGGAGGTTTTGTGTGCTTGGGGCCTGGACTTCCATCAAGCATGCATGAGCACATTAGATAGGAGTGAGTGGAGACAAGTTGTTTTTATGACTTGACGTGCTGTTGGAGTGTGAGGAAGGTAACATTTATGAAGGGGTTCAGGGAAGTCAGAAGCCGAACTTGAGTCCTGGAGATGGGAAGTACAGTGCCTGCACTCTGAAGGAAGTCTGTTGATATTGCAGTTTTATAACTGTAGTGTAGGCATGCCTCTGGCAAGACAGTGATGGAGTGAATGATGGTGATGAAAGAATCTCTTCTTTTTCCAGTCACCCTTCCTTGGTGGGAAATGGCCAATGTGTTAATAAAAACAAAAGAGTTTATTTGTGTAGTATTATTATCTAGTCTATAGTGATTTCATAAATTGTTCAGATTACCCTAGATAGCTATGCTGTAAAACATAAAAGCACTTTTGGTGCATTTTTCTCCTTCAGAAAATGTATTGGAATTCTTCATATGAGCTGTTCATCTATTGGTGTGTGACAGTTGTACATCTTTGCTTATAGTGTAAGATAGAGCTATTAGAGTACATTAGTTGATAATTATTTTATATAGACATTCTGATAAACATAAATATCTTTTGATTTAAGTTATTTACATTGAACAGCAACTGGTGGCCCTTCTTTGTGCTCATGTTCTATGTGCTGGCGCCAATACCAAGCATTATCGCACGTAGAATGTCAGAGGACACTGGAGGAAGCAACCCCTGCAAGGAGTTGGCATACTTTGTGACAGCTGCCCTTGTGGTATCAGCATTTGGTCTTCCTATTGTCTTAGCAAGATCGCCTGTTGCACAGCCGGTAGTGAGTGTTGCAATGATTTTTTCAGTATTTAATATTAGGTATGTGTTTAAAAAACCACTAGTTGTGAAACAGTGAAAAAACATATAAAGTGTCAGTATGTACTTTCTATAATATTTTTTTTGGTAAATCTAATTGCATCTCATGTAAAAAATTAAACTGCTGAAATTATTGAGAGATAGCAAGCTTGCACACATGATCATTGAAAGAAATTTGATTGTATATTGTACTGTATAACACTTAATGTCTTGAGTTTTTTCTTTTTAATTTTTTGTGCATCATATTTTCTCAAGTGTCCAAACTGTCTAGATAATTGATTTAACAAACTTTTTACCATCTAAATAATTTATGCCTTTCTCTCTGAACAACTGTTTTTCTCTGCTCTATTTTTTTTAGTCTCTCTTTACTCTTAAGTTCTTAGCCTTAATTTATCACTCTGTGTAAGATTCTAATATCAGTTTAGCTTTCCAAGAACTTTTTAAATTTTTGTTTTATAAAACAACTTTCATATTATGGAAACTCAAGAAAGTCTTACTACTTGTGTATTGTAGATAGTTTATCAGTAAGATTGTATATCTTCAGATATTTTTATGTATGGATGTACACTTCTCTCATGTTTTGCATGGTCAGTGAATGCAAGTTTTCATATAGATTGGTTTTTTAACATGAATTTCACTAAATATTGTTTAGTGAAACTAGTATACTGGAGTGGAACTAATAAGAGTTAACCCAATCTAACATGGCAAAGTCTTCTCTAATGTAATATTCTTTAAAAATCAATACATTATAAACCATTTCTTTGTTTTGCTGAAAAATATACATAGTTTCATAACTAGGTGGTAAATATTCTTTTAATATTTACCACCTATTCTTTTAATATTCTTTAATATTTAATATAATGTATTGATTTTTAAAGCATATTACATTAGAGAAGATTTTGCCATGTTAGATTAGGTTAGCTCTTATAAGTTCCTCTCCGGTATTTGATGCCAATCACAACGTACTTTATCTTTTGACTATTGTCCACACCATGGATATGGGATGCATAAGAAAGGTTTTAAATTAAACTCACTACTTTTTTTTACAGATTCAGTGGGGTGCTTGTGCACTAGTCTTGGCAGGAAATGTGGTGACATTTTTAACCATTTGGGGTTTCTTCATCATGGCTGATAGTGATGATGTGGAGTACAGCATGTGGTAAAGATAGTGATGATGTGTAGTACAGCATGTGGTGAAGATAGTGATGATGTGGAGTACAGCATGTGGTGAAGATAGTGATGATGTGGAGTACAGCATGTGGTGAAGATAGAGCCCAAGATTCATTGGGTTAATGAACATCATGCAGTAAAGTGGTCATCAGTATTTTTTAAAAAATCAAATCCTCAGAGCTTCTATTTGATGGTTGGCATTTATTAGTTTGATTCAGTTTTGGGGAACATCAATACAGTGTCTTTTGCTCATCATAAACATGTATAGTACGTGCTACTGTTAGTGTTGCTGACTTCCATACTTGGCAGTGATTTCTTAAAACTTAGATTTAACCCTTTAACTGGGCACTGTGGGCAGCTTTACCACCTTTCTGGTGGGCAGTTTTTTATGATATTGTAGAGTATATAATATAGTATGGGAAAATGAGTAAAATATGAACACTTTACCTGATGTTGAAGTGAAGAATTTATAGGCTGTATAATGAGGCAGACTTTTTCACAGGTATATATATACCTTGATGCCAGTAAAAGGCTCTTGATCTAAGGAACTGGACTTATCATACCCTTCCTTGGGTTGAACTTGATAGCTTCCCCAGGTGCGTAACCCTTAAGGGTTTAGCACTTGCCACTGATTTCAGTAAATAATTTGCAGGTATAGAACTACACTGTAGATAGATTTATTAGCATCTTACATATGTTTTAGTGTGTAATACTTTATGAAGCCAGGTAACCTATAAATGTAAGTCACTTTACAGTGAAATTATAACGCAATGATATGCTTATTACGCAGCTGTGGAGCGAACCCTGTCTGCACTGTGTTCATGTATGTCATTTGATGAACATTTAAAAATTTTGCACCATTCAGCGATATGTTTGGTCATGTCTATGGAAAGCTTTGCTTTTTATTTACTGTTTTCAAAAGGCTATGAAATCACCACTGGTATCACTTTCACTGCTATTTACCCAAAAAGTTTAATTTCTTGCTATTATGCAAGAGGGTTCAGACATGCTTCAAACATTTTTCAACATTTTGTTTATGCTGTTAATCAAAGCATTTTTTTTTTAACACCAGCCATCTCCCACTGAGGGGCAGGATGACCTGAAAAAGAAGAAACACTTTTTGTTACATTTAGTAATTTATACAGGAGAAGAGGGTTACTAGCCCCTTGCTCCCAGCATTTTACTTGCCTCTTACAGCATGCATGGCTTGCAGAGGAAGGATTCTTTTCCATTTTCCCATAGAGATGAAAGCATAATATTTGTTGTAAATATAACCACTAGTATCACTGTCACTGCTGTTTGGAATATTATTATTCAGTAACATCAGTTTTATTTTACAATAACATGCCATGCTCATGCCATGAATTCTGGGGCTTAAAGCCTCTTCAAGGGGGGCTCCTTGGCGTGGTGAAGAGGCTCTTGGTCTGAGGAATTAGATCTGTCGGTCTACTGCCTCAGACCGAACCTAATTACCCCCCAATCCCCCGTTCCCTATCCCATCCTCCCCATCCTCCCCTTTTTCCTTTCCTCCTCCTCCTCCCCACCCCTCCCTTTTGCCCTTCCTTTTTGGCCTTTTTTTTTTTTTTTTTTTCCCACAGGCATGCTAGTTCCTAGGTAGGGGAAAGGGTACCGGGGTCCATCCCATTCCGTTGAGGTTCTTGGCGGTGGCGTAGTTTGCCGTGGAATCTGGATTGCCTGGGGATGTCCTGATCCCTCTCCGGTATCCCGGAGGGTGGCTTTGGGTGTCTCTCGGGCGACGGGTGTATCTCTGGAAGCCCCCTTTCGGGGTTCTGGGGGTGGTGGCTGAAGGAGGTATGCTTTTTTGGCGGATTTCCGGCCGCCCCTCTTTTGTCCACCGAGGTAGCTCGGCAGATGTGAGGTTGCTATCCCGGATTGCCGGTTTTTCTGGCATGATGGGTAGGGTATGGCACAGGTTCCCTGCTGCATCTGGCTACTTGCAGTGCTGAGGTCCTCTTGGGCGCGGAGGGAATTTCTGGCCCTTTCATTCCTCCTAGGAAAATATCCCTCCCGGTCCCCCCTTTTTTTTATTCTTTTTTTATTTTTTTTTTCTTTCTTTTTTTTCTAAAAACAAAAGAAAGAAAATAACCTAACCATGGCAGCCCTGTCCATGAACCTGCTACCCCCGGGGGCCCCCTTTTTGATACCGCACCCCGTTCTGACCCCGCCCCGTCTTTGGGCCACTCTTCGGACACTCCCCATGCCCCTGTACCTCTTGGGTGCTGTTTCCTCCACCGCTTCAGGTACTGGGGGCCTCGACTGACTCCTTCGATTTATCTGACCTTCGCTCTCCTTGACTATGCTTCCGGCCTTCCCTCTACGGTGCGGCAATTTTCGAATGCCGGCCCATTCCACGTCGGACCAACTCTGGTCCCACGCCCTAACGACACGACAATTACCTGCTGATGATACTTCTCCACCTTCTGTTCTTCTCAGAAAAGATCGACACGTCCTTCACTACCTTTCACGCTCAGTTTCAGACTGCACAATGGGCTAAATTCTTCACTTTACGACCCATTCCTTCTACTGCCTATCTTTCTGACCACAGTATTGCAAGGCACTCCTACGCCATGTTGGTAAAGATATTTCTTTCATGCTCTTAAGAGCGGTACGCGCATCGTCACCGTAAGAATGCTACCAGGCTCTGAGCTTTCTCGTCTTTCCCTTTCAATACTGTTCCTGTAACTATTGAAAAGCATTTATTCCCTCAATTCTTGTAGTGGTACCATCATTCTGCCCATACCATAGTTCAACAAAAATTTTCCAGACATGTGGCACTGACACTCTTGAACAGCTGGAACTCCCAAAATCTCCCAATCCTCAAGGTAGACATTACATTCTTCCTGCCCGCGGGCGGAGACGATACCCTAGCAATGTGGCTCGTTTTTTAAATTTTGAAGCCGTGAACTCCCCTCCTCAGTTTATGTAGTTGGACATCGGTTACAAGTTCGAAGGTGATCCCTACACCGCAACAGTGTAGAAATTGCTGGCGATTTGGCCATCCAGCGAAATATTGCAGATCTATCGCCGAATACCCAGTCTGTGGTGCCGATGACCATTCTAATACGTCTTGCAATCGACCTCCTCTTGCCTTAATTGTCATGAGGCTCACCCTTCGTACTCTCGCCGTTGTCAAGTCTACTTAAACGAGCGGGAAATCCGTTACCTCAAAGAGGCAGAAGGTCTCCCTTATGCCATGGCAGTTTCTCATCTCCGCCTCCAAGGGAGACTACCTCGTGTTTCTTATTCCCGTGTTTCAAAACGTCCCCCACTTCTGGTATCCCATCTTCTGCACCCACCTCTGTGGTTACCTCTCCCATATGTCACTCCTGTAGCTAATTCTTTTGCTGTCCTCGGCTCAGACGTCCCTACTTCAACGTCTCAGTCTGATCTTGCTTCTTCGTGTTCTCTCTCACAAGCCTCAGTAGCGACGAGATCTCGTATGACACCTCCTCCCAATCGTCCCTCTACTTCTCAAAAGTCAAAAAAAGGTCCGTTAACACCTCCTACCCATCTTCCACCTCCTCATTTTCCCTTCCCTGTCTCTGTACCTGGTTCTTCCTCTCTCACTGGCTCTGTTACAAGTGTAGAGGTTCACCCTCCTCCTCGTACTATACCTTCCTCCCCTGTTCCCTCCCAAGTTTCTTCCTCTTCGGCCACCTCCCAGGTTTCTGCCTCTTCTGTCCCCTTCCACGCTTCTCCAGTTCCCTCCACCCTTCCGTCCCCCTCTACCTTGGTACAGTCCATTACAGTTCCAATCTTTACTCATCCTCCCCCTACCATTTCCAATATTGTCTCCCATACGACGTCTCTGAATTCTGAAACACTTGAAGCAATCTCTGAATATATCAATGGACACTGATCCACCCTCCGCTCCTTCTCTCTCCTCTACTCCATCTGCGCAACTCCTTTCTTCACAGCGCACCGTTCCTTCGCTGCTTGAACGTTTTCCACTGCCTCCGCATGTGGACTTTTCTAACCTCTCTAGTCCGTAGGAACCCTTACCTGCGGATTTCAGGTATCTTTATCATTGCCAATCATGGCCTATTTACAGTGGAATATACGCGGCCTCAGGGGTAATCGAGGAGAGCTTCAGATGTTACTCTCCCAGTTTTCCCCTGTTGGTGTTTGCTTACAGGAACCAAAATTACACTCTGCTGTTATCTCTCCCATCTCAGGCTATAATTTATTGTATTCTCAGATCCTTTCTCTGATGGGACCTTTAATGAAAGTGCCCTTCTTCTACGCACTGATATTCCGTACCATCAGCTATTTGTTTGTACTTCGCTGCATTACACAGCAGCCCGTATCCACTTGCATAGGTGGTATACGCTCTGTTCTTTATATGTCTCTCCGTCTCGGGCATTATCTATTCCGGATATTGCCTTTCTTGTTTCGTCATTACCACCACCGATTTTGTTACTTGGTGATTTTAATGCCCACCATTTCCTCTGGGGGGTCTCACTGTGATTCCCGTGGCATTCAGTTAGAGGCTTTTCTTGCCACCCACCCCCTCCATGTTTTAAATACAGGTACTCACACCCATTTTGATCCTCGGACTCACACTCTCTCTTGCATCGATCTCTCAGTCTGCTCTTCCTCCGCCGCATTAGACTTCACTTGGTCTGTTCTTCCGGACTTACATGACAGCGATCATTTCCCATCATTCTTACTTCCCCTTCATTATCACCACCTCTTCGCATCCCACGCTGGCAATTTGATCAGGCAAATCGGAACCTTTACTCACACCTAACTGTTTTTAGAGAGGTTCCTTCTTCGTCCTCCATCGATGAGCTTTTACACCTCTTCTCGTCCTCCGTTTTAACCGCAGCTTCTCATTCTATACCCCAAACTTCGAGCAGGCATTCTCAGAAATGCGTGCCTTGGTGGTCTCCTGCTTGTGCTCGTGCAGTACGTTTGAAACGCGCTGCATGGGCAGGTACCGTACAATAGAACCACAGAGAGACTTCTTGAATTTAAGCAGAAGCGTGCGATCACTTGCCGTGTCATCCGTGACGCTAAACGCACTTGCTGGCGAGATTATGTCTCCACCATCACCTCTGCTTCTTCTATGAGTGCAGTCTGGAAAAAAGTACGAAAACTGAGTGGTAAATATTCTCCTGACCCGGCTCCTGTTCTGCGGGTTGCCGGTGTTGATATAGCAAACCCACTAGATGTTGCCAATGAAATTGGCAATCATCTGGTCCGAAATTTCTCAGGGACTCCATCTATGCCCTATTTCTTCCTCAAAGTCTGCCAGAGAGTTAGCACCCTTGGACTTTTCTTCTCTCAGAGAAGAACAGTATAATGTCCCTTTTTACACTTCAAGAACTGGAGGCCCAAACACTCTCAGCTTGCTGATCATCGGCAGCTGGGCCGACGACATCATATTCGTATGCAAACAACATTTACATCAGTCAGCCCTTGTAGTCCTATTACGCCTTTACAATCTTTTTTTGGTCACAAGGAGTTTTTCCCACAGCTTGGAAATCCGCCATTGTTCCCCCTTTCCGCAAACCAGGCACTACGGGACATGAAACCTCCCACATTGTCCCATTGCTCTTACCAGTGCAGTTTGCAAAGTGATGGAACGCCTAGTAAAATAGACGTTTAGTGTGGTATTTAGAGACACACAACAGTCTCTCCATCGTCAATATGGCTTTCATAAGGGATGTTCTCCCATAGACCCCTTACTACGCTTGGATACGTATGTTCGTAATACCTTTGCGAATAACCACTCATTTATTGCCATATTTTTTGACCTTGAAAAGGCATATGACACAACTTGGAGGTATAAATATTTAGCCCAAGCCCACTCCTTAGGCCTTCGAGGCAACTAACCATCCTTCTTAAGAACTTTTTAACTGACAGCATTTCCGTGTTTGGGTTAATAATGTGCTCTCCCCGGACTTTATCCAAGCGAAGGTGTCCCCCAGGGATGTGGTTTTTAACAAAAACACTTTCTCTCCTTGCATTAATGATTTGGCCTCTAGTCTTCTACAAATTTTTGGTCATCACTCTATTTTGATGACTTCGCTATTGCCTGTGCAGGCGCTGACTGTCCCCTTTAATTACAGTTTCTCTCCACATGCAGTCGACCGAGTTTCCAATTGGGCCACCACCCCGGGGGTTTAAATTTTTCCAGCACTAAAACCCACCAAATTACTTCACTAGACGCTCTGTCATCTCCGATCATCCTTTGTATCTCTATGGCTCCCGTATCCCAGAACGTGATACAGTCAAGTTTCTGGGCCTCCTCTTTGATCTTAGGTTATCCTGGAAACCTCACATTACCTCTCTGAAGGCAACTTGCCACAGCCGGCTAAAACCTCTTTAAAACCCTTGCTCATCTTTCATGGGGAGCTGTTTCGTCGAACCCTCCTTCGCCTACATTCCACCCTTTTATCTTATCGAAACTTGATTATGGTGACCAGATCTATTCAGCGGCATCTGCTGGTACTCTCTCTAGCCTTAACCCCATTCATCACCAAGGATTACGTTTATGCTTGGTGCTTTTTCGCTCTTCCCCTGTCAAGAGCCTCTATGTAGAAGCGAACGTTCCATCCTTATCCGATCGCCGTGATGCCCATTGCCTCGCTACTATGTACGCTCTCATGATCTCCGAAATCCTTCCATTTATAGAATGGTCACTGATATTAGTGACATCTTTATTTGTTCGCCGCCCCTGTTTACTCCGTCCCTTCTCTCTTCGCCTTCATTCGCTCTTGTTTTTTCCCTTCAATTACCACCTTTCTATGTACATGTAGCATCTCACTTTTCCCTACCCCCCTGGGAATTTTCCAGCTTTTCGGTCTGTTTTTTCTCTCCCCCTTTGCTCGAAAGCCCAACTGTCTACGGTCGCTTCCCGCTCTCATTTTCTTGACCACTTTCACTCTCATTCTCATGCCATTGCTGTGTAAAACAGATGGCTCTAAGCTTCTGACGGCGTAGATTCGCAGCAGTGTTTCCGGACAGCATCGTACAAGGGCATTTACTATCTTCGGCTAGTTTTTACTGCTGAATTGTATGCCATCCTTACAGCACTTATCTGAAATTGCATCTATGCCTGTGTCATCATTTGTGTTTGTCTCAGACTCCCTTAGTGTTTTTACAGGCTATACAGAAATTTGATACACCTCACCCCTTAGTCCTCCGTATCCAACTTTGGCAAACGCCGCATCTTTACCAAGCATAAAGATATTGTTTTTGTTGGGTCCCTGGTCATGTTGACGTACGGGGCAATGAACAGGCAGACACTGCTGCGCGGTCACAGTACATGACCTAACCAGTTTCATGTAGAGGTATTCCATTTACGGACTATTTTGCTGCAATATCTTCCCAACTTCACACCCGTTGGCAACAACGTTGGCCCTACAATGCTTGGCAACAACTTCAATCTATTAAACCGGGAGTATAGGTTACTGGCCGTTTTCCCTTATCACCAGTGTCGGGTTGGGAGACTACTCTCCCCGTCTTCGCATGGCCATACTCGTCTTACTCATGGATATCTCATGGAGAGGCGCCCTGCTCCTCTCTGTGAGAATTGCCAAGTTCCATTATCAGTCCAGCCACATTCTGTTGGACTGCCCACTTTATCAACTAGCACGCGAATATACCTCCGTCGTCGTCTCGCTCTGCTGCTCTCCCCTTTACCTTCCCTTCTCGCTGATGGACCAACCTTCACCAGACTCCTCATTGACTTTTTGACAACAACTGACTTAAACTTCACAAATTTGATACCTTCACCCTTTCTACTTCAATCTCTTGCTACACCCCTACCCCGTACTATCCCCTGCCCTGCTGTTTTCTGTAACCTACTGATCATCCCTCCTCCCTTCTGCCCACCCAATACCCTCGCTTCCTTCCCTAACCGCAGCGCTTTTAAAAGGCCCTTGTGGCTTAGCGCTTCTTTTTTGATTATAATAATAATAAAAACTCTCTCCTGTCTTCGCATTGGCCAACTTGTTTTACTCATGGATATCTCAGGGAGATGCCCCCGCTCCTCTCTGTGAGAATTGCCAAGTTCCATTATCAGTCAGCCACATTCTGTTGGACTGCCCACTTTATCAACGAGCACGCAGAATTTACCTCCGTCATCGTCTTCGCTCTGCTGCTCTCTCTTTACCTTCCCTTCTCGCTGATGGACCCACCTTTCATCCAGACTCTCTCATTGACTTTTTGACAACAACTGACTTACTTCACAAATTCTGATACCTTCAGCCCTTTCTACTTCAATCTCTTGCTACCCCTTACCCCCGTACTATCCCCTGCCCCGCTGTTTTCTGTAACCTACTGATCATCCCTCCTCCCTTCTGCCATCCAATACCCTCGCTTCCTTCCCTAACCTGCAGCGCTGTATAGCCCTTGTGGCTTAGCCCTTCTTTTTGATTATAATAATAATAATGGGGCTTAAAGCACCTGTAGATTTTTTACTCTGTAAAAATTTAGTGTTTTCTGTATATGAAGTGCATTCTAATATGATGTACGTTTTGTGGTGCTTAATATGAACTCGATAGAATTTATATGGATTTAGATTCCAGTTTCTTGAGGATGGGGGAGACAGTACTGTGTATGTATATGTTGCTCCCAGTTAAAGGGTTAAGGATTGGTATTTCTTAGGGAAGCAAGTGTTGATGATATAGCTATTGCCTAATGGTACATCTGAACAGGGATTGATAATATTTAAAGGTCCTTATCCTGTAAGTCAAGTAAGGGACTGTTTTTAATTGACTGACAAGAATATTTTTGCCCCACTCATGAACTTGCGCTACAGTCAGTGCCAACATTAATTGTATTTTCTCAACTCTTATATAAATATATATATATATATATATATGATATATATATTTAAAATTTTTATATATATATATATATAAATATATATATATATATATATATATAAAAAATATATATATTATATATATATAATATAAAAACCTAGAGATGGTATAAATAAAAAAAAATTTTGAGCATTTAATAAAAAATGGAACTTAAAATTAAATGAAGTATTTTAAATACAGTACATTTATATAATTCTTTTACCTGCCTCCTTCACCTGAATAACCATCAGTGTCAGTCCCATACCCCAGGTACCTAGATAATCATCAGTGTCAGTCCCATACCCCAGGTACCTAGATAACCATCAGTGTCATCCCATTCCCCAGGTACCTTTGATAACCCTCAGTGTCAGTCCCCAAAACCCCAGGTACCTAGATAACCATCAGTGTCAGTCCCATACCCCAGGTACCTAGATAACCATCAGTGTCAGTCCCATTCCCCAGGTACCTAGATAACCATCAGTGTCAGTCCCATTCCCCAGGTACCTAGATAACCATCAGTGTCAGTCCCATACCCCAGGTACCTAGATAACCATCATGTCAGTCCCAACCCAGGTACCTAGATAACCATCAGTGTTAGTCCCCATACCCAGGTACCTAGAAACCATCAGTGTCAGTCCCATACCCCAGGTACCTAGATAAACCACAGTGTTAGTCCCATACCCCAGGTACCTAGATAACCAATCAGTGTTTGTCCCATTACCCCAGGTACCTAGACAACCATCAGTGTTTTTTCCCATACCCCAGGTACCTAGACAACCATCAGTGTTAGTCCCCTACCCCGGGACCTAGATAACCATCAGTGTCAGTCCCATACCCCGGTACCAGATAACCATCAGTGTCAGTCCCATCCCCAGGGGACCTAGATAACCCTCAGTGTCAGTCTCATACCCCCCAGGTACCTAGATAACCATCAGTGTCAGTCCATACCCCAGGGACCTAGATAACCACATGTCAGTCTCATACCCAGGTACCTAAATAACCAACAGTGTTAGTCCCCATACCCCAGGTACCTAGATAACCAAACAGTGTCAGTCCCCCTACCCCAGGTACCTAGATAACCATCAGTTGTCAGTCTCATACCCCAGGTAAACCCAGATAACCATCAGTGTCAGTCCCATACCCCAAGTACCTAGATAACCATCAGTGTTTTGTCCCATACCCCAGGTACCTAGATAACCATCAGTGTCAGTCCCATACCCCAGGTACCAGATAACCACAGTGTCAGTCCCATACCCCAGGTACCTAGATAACCATCAGTGTCAGTTTCCCCTTCCCCAGGTACCTAGATAACCATCAGTGTCATCCCATCCCCAGGTACCCCAGAAACCATCAGTGCAGTCCCATTCCCAGGTACCTAGAAACCATCAGTGTCAGTCCCATACCCCAGGTACCTAGATAACCATCATGTTAGTCCCAATACCCCCGGTACCTAGATAACCATCAGTGTCAGTCCCACCCCAGGGACCTAGATAACCATCAGTGTTAGTCCCCATACCCCAGGTACCTAGATAACCATCAGTGTTAGTCCCCCCCACCCCAGGTACCTAGACAAACCATCAGTGTTAGGTCCCATACCCCAGGTACCTAACAACCTCAGTGTTTTGTCCCATACCCCAGGTACCTAGATAACCAAACAGTGTCAGTCCCATCCCCAGGTACCTAGATAACCATCGTGTCAGTCCCATACCCCAGGTACCTAGATAACCATCAGTGTCAGTCTCATACCCCCGGTTACCTAGATAACCATCAGTGTCAGTCCCATACCCCAGGACCTAGATAACCATCAGTGTCAGTCTCATACCCCAGGTACCTAAATAACCATCAGGTTTGTCCCATACCCCCGGTACCTAGATAACCATCAGTGTCAGTCCCATACCCCAGGTAACCCAGAAACCATCAGTGTCAGTCCCCATACCCCAGGTACCTAGATAACCATCAGTGTCAGTCCCATACCCCAAGTACCTAGATAACCATCAGTGTTAGTCCCATACCCCAGGTACCTAGATAACCATCAGTGTCAGTCCCATACCCCAGGTACCTAATAACCACAGTGTCCCGTCCCATACCCCAGGTACCTAGATAACCATCAATGTCAGTCTCATACCCCAGGTACCTAGATAACCATCAGTGTCAGTCCCATACCCCAGGTACCTAGATAACCATCAGTGTCAGTCTCATACCCCAGGTACCTAAATAACCATCAGTGTTAGTCCCATACCCCAGGTACCTAGATAACCATCAGTGTCAGTCCCATACCCCAGGTACCTAGATAACCATCAGTGTCAGTCTCATACCCCAGGTACCTAGATAACCATCAGTGTCAGTCCCATACCCCAAGTACCTAGATAACCATCAGTGTTAGTCCCATAAACCCCCGGTACCTAGATAACCATCAGTGTCAGTCCCATACCCCAGGTACCTAGATAACCATCAGTGTCAGTCCCATACCCCAGGTACCTAGATAACCATCAGTGTTAGTCCCATACCCCAGGTACCTAGATAACCATCAGTGTCAGTCCCATACCCCAGGTACCTAGATAACCATCAGTGTCAGTCCCATACCCCAGGTACCTAGATACCATCAGTGTCAGTCCCCATACCCCCGGTACCTAGATAACCAAACATGTTAGTCCCATACCCCAGGTACCTAGATAACCATCAGTGTCAGTCTCATACCCCAGGTACCTAGATAACCATCAGTGTCAGTCCCATACCCCAGGTACCTAGATAACCCTCAGTATCAGTCCCATACCCAGTAACCTAGATAACCATCAGTGTCAGTCTCATACCCCAGGTACCTAGATAACCATCAGTGTCAGTCTCATACCCCAGGTACCTAGATAACCATCAGTGTCAGTCTCATACCCCAGGTACCTAGATAACCATCAGTGTCAGTCCCATACCCCAGGTACCTAGATAACCATCAGTGTCAGTCTCATACCCCAGGTACCTAGATAACCCTCAGTGTTAGTCCCATGCCCCAGGTACCTAGATAACCATCAGTGTCAGTCCCATACCCCAGGTACCTAGATAACCATCAGTGTCAGTCTCATACCCCAGGTACCTAGATAACCATCAGTGTCAGTCCCATACCCCAGGTACCTAGATAACCATCAGTGTCAGTCCCATGCCCCAGGTACCTAGATAACCATCAGTGTCAGTCCCATACCCCAGGTACCTGGATAACCATCAGTGTCAGTCCCATGCCCCAGGTACCTAGATAACCATCAGTGTCAGTCTCATACCCCAGGTACCTGGATAACCATCAGTATCAATCCCATGCCCCAGGTACCTGGATAACCATCATTGTCAATCCCATGCCCCAGGTACCTGAATAGCCATCAATGTCAGTTCCATACCCCAGGTACCTGGATAACCATCTGTGTCAGTCCCATGCCCCAGGTACCTGGGTAACCACCAGTGTCAGCCCCATGCCCCAGATACCTAGGTAACCATCAGTGTCAGTCCCATGCCCCAGGTACCTGGATAACCATCAGTATCAATCCCATGCCCCAGGTACCTGGGTAACCATCATTGTCAATCCCATGCCCCAGGGACCTGGATAACCATCATTGTCAATCCCATGCCCCAGGTACCTGGATAACCATCATTGTCAATCCCATGCCCCAGGTACCTGGGTAACCATCATTGTCAATCCCATGCCCCAGGTACCTGGGTAACCATCATTGTCAATCCCATGCCCCAGGTACCTGGATAACCATCATTGTCAATCCCATGCCCCAGGTACCTGGATAAACATCAGTATCAATCCTATGCCCCAGATGCCTGGATAACCATCAGTGTCAGTCCCATGCCCCAAGTACCTGGGTAACTACTGGTGTCAATCCCATGCCCCAGGTACCTGGATAACCATCATTGTCAATCCCATGCCCCAGGTACCTGGGTAACCACCCATGTCAATCCCTGAATTAAGGTTGTATGATTTCATTACTTCTGTCTTCCTTATTTAAAGTATAACTCAATATTCAGGCTGGATATTCAGCTTTTATGTACACTCAAAAGCTGTAATCTAAGGAAGTTGTTGTTAGCTAGTGGAGAAGCCTAAAATAAGACAATTTATGAAAATTTCCTGAAATATCATAACTGTTTAAATAATGCTTATTGGTTCATTCTTTATGGAGTTTACTACTATGACAATCAAATCAATTTAGTATGTATGAAATAACTTCCTGATCTGAATGAATGTACAGTACTAAATTATGGTTTTAAATATTGCTGGCTTAAATCATTCGCTACATAATTTCTGAAATGTTTCTTGACTGTATGCTGGTTCTCAGGGTACAAATTAATTGTTCATGCAACATTAAAAAACATAATATAAAAATGAAGTAAGAAAAACCTAAAAAAAAAAATTCCCAAAATCCCAGTATCCTAAAATATGACATTTGAAATTTCTGTGCATTACAGGTAGACAGTAGTAGGTAAGATATTTTGTTTGATACTGATATTATTAACCCTTAAACGGTCCAAACATATATATACGTTCACCTGCGCAGCGCCCTGAATATTTTGAAAAAAAAAAAATTTTATAGGAAAAAAGAGCATGTGGTACCCAGGCATCTCTAATTTTTTTCATATGGGGCACACTGAGTGCACACACCCATTCTCATGTCTAGGCGACTCAGGCCTATCATGCCACTGTTGAATGAATGACAGATGAAACGTATATATACGTTTGGGGCGCTACGCGAGAGAATGTATATATACGTTTGGACCGTTTAAGGGTTAATGCACAGACATTGTCAATAGATATAAGTCTTTTATTGTAATTCCACATGGTGTATTTTCCTACTTATACTAACTATAAATAATAGTTTTGGTAGTCACTTTATGAAGCTCATATAAGTGATCATCTTGTAAATATTATTAAGAATCTTAAACTGGCTGTTTTTCATGCTAAACAAATATTAAGCATTTTTCTAATTGTTAGTTATCAATTAAGCTTATTTGTACTTATAATAAAAGCAGAAAATTGTTTAATATGCCAGCTTGCTTGTTACATGTTATGGTTGTAGAATAAAATAAAGAATTATTTTTCTGAGTATTAAAAATGTTCCCTCATGTATTGATTTCCAGTTTTTTAAATTGGGTAATTATCCTTAAAAAATGAATTCATTAAAGCTAAATTGAGGCTAATACTGTACAGTAAGTACTGTGTGATTTATTGTACTATAGAGCCCTTGTGGTTTAGCGCTTCTTTTTGATTATAATAATAATAATTTATTGTACTATCTTCTGGATCTTTTCACATAAGAATTTCTCCTGCATTTTATTGTTATATTTAGGGGAAAATGCTAAACTCATAAGCATCATACAGTGCTTGGGGAATAGAAGGCAATAAGGGTCAATTCAAGGCAGGCAAAAAAGGACCAGTTCCTTGGATCAAGAGCCCCTCACCATCAAGGCACTGCCCTTAAGGAGTGTCTCACAAAACCATTTCAGAGGTACAGTACTTGCTAGATAGCTTCTAAACCACATATGCCATTACTAAAATTATGCTTTCTTTTTTTTTTTAGCTATTTTTGCTATTGGTTTCATATATCTTGTTTGAAAACTAAGTAAGAGGTTTGTTAGCTCATTGCCTTTGACTAGACTGTATTTCTTCATCCCTAATACAGTACTTTATAAATTTTCAAACAGTTCTTAGTGAAAATATGTATACTTGATGTATATTCATTCACTACCAAAATAAGGATATATTCACTACAAAATAAGGATATATTCTCTACCAAATAAGGATGTATGTTCATTCACTACCAAAATAAGGATATATTTGCTACCAAAATAAGGATATATTCACTACAAAATAAGGATATATTCACTACCAAAATAAGGATGTATGTTCATTCACTACCAAAAATAAAGATATTCTGTGTATTAATTTATTGTCAAAATA